ACCTGAACACAGTGAACCAGAACCTGAACACAGTGAACCAGAACCTGAACACAGTGAACCAGAACCTGAACACAGTGAACCAGAACCTGAATACAGAGAACCAGATCCTGAACACAGTGAACCAGAACCGGAGTACAGAGAACCAGAACCCAAATACAGTGAACCAGAACCTGAACACTGACAACCAGAACCTGAGTACAGAGAACCAGTACCTGAAAACTGAGAACAAGAACCTGAATACAGAGAACCAGAACCTGAACACAGTGAACCAGAACCTGCATACAGAGAACCAGAACCTGAGTACAGAGAACCAGAACCCTAATACAGTGAACCAGAACCTGAACACTGACAACCAGAACCTGAGTACAGAGAACCAGTACCTGAAAACAGAACCAGAACCTGAGTACAGAGAACTAGAACCTGAGTACAAAGGACCAGTACCTGAACACTGAGAACCAGAACCAGACTACAGAGAACCAGAACCTGAACACTGAGAAGCAGAACCTGAACACTGAGAACCAGAACCTGAGTACAGAGAATCAGAACATGAGAACAGAAAACCAGAACCCAAGTACAGAGCACCAGAAACTGAGTACAGAAAACATGAACCTGAGTACAGACGACCAGAACCTGAACACAGTGAACCAGAACCCTAATACAGTGAACCAGAACCTGAACACTGACAACCAGAACCTGAGTACAGAGAACCAGTACCTGAAAACAGAACCAGAACCTGAACACAGTGATCCAGAACCTGAATACAGAGAACCAGAACCCGAGTACAAAGAACCAGATCCTGAACACAGTGAACCAGAACCAGAGTACAGAGAACCAGAACCCAAATACAGTGAACCAGAACCTTAGTACAGTGAACCAGAACCTGAAAACTGAGAACCAGAACCTGAGTACAGAGAATCAGAACATGAGAACAGAAAACCAGAACCCAAGTACAGAGGACCAGAAACTGAGTACAGAAAACATGAACCTGAGTACAGATGACCAGAACCTGAACACAGTGAACCAGAACCTGAATACAGAGAACCAGATCCTGAACACAGTGAACCAGAACCCTAATACAGTGAACCAGAACCTGAACACTGACAACCAGAACCTGAGTACAGAGAACCAGTACCTGAAAACAGAACCAGAACCTGAA